AGCAGCACGGGGACAGGGACAGGGACAGCTGAGACAGGGGCAGGGACAGCGACAGCAGTGCCACCTGCCACGGGCACGGGGACAGGGACAGGGACATCGGCATGGGGACAGGGACAGCAGTGCCACCTGGCACGGGGACAGGGACGGGGACATTGGCACGGGGATGGGGACATCAGCACGGGGACATCGGCATGGGGACAGGGACATCGGCACGGGGACAGGGACAGGGACATCTGAGACAGGGACAGCAGCACGGGGACAGGGACAGGGACATCAGCACAGGGACAGGGACAGCAGTGCCACCTGCCACAGGGACAGGGACGGGGACATCGGCACAGGGACAGGGACACCTGAGACAGGGGACATCAGCTCAGGGACAGGGACAGGGACAGGGACAGGGACAGGGACAGCAGTGCCACCTGGGAAAGGGACATCAGCACAGGGACATCAGCACCCCCAGGGGTGTGTGTCACCTGGGCAGAGAGGGGACAGGGACATCAGCACAGGGACAGGAACAGCAGCACAGGGACAGGGACATCAGTGCCACCTGGGACAGGGGAGGGGACATCAGCACAGGGGTGTGTGTCACCCCCAGGGGTGTGTGTCACCAGGGACAGGGACAGGACCAGCGGGGGGGGGGTCAGTGTCCCCATGTCACCTGTGGGGTCAGGGATGGGGACAGTGGTGGGGCGGTGTCCCCAGTGTCCCCATGTCACCTGAACAGGACAGGGACAGGGACAGTGGTGGGGCAGTGTCCCCGTGTCACCTGCAGGGACAGGGACAGTGGCAGGGAGGCGTCCCCAGGTGCCACCTGAGCAGGACAGGGATGGGGACAGTGGCGGGGCGGTGTCCCCGTGTCACCTGCAGGGACAGGGACAGGGACAGGGAGGCGTCCCCAGGTGCCACCTGAGCAGGACAGGGATGGGGACAGTGGCGGGGCGGTGTCCCCGTGTCACCTGCGGGATGCCCAGCCACTCCTCGGCCTGCTGCATGGCCTCGCGCGCGTTCTCCACGGGGCGGCTCGGGTTCCACGAGTCCCAGTCGGGACACAGCCCTGGGGACAGGGACAGCGTCACCAGTGCCCGTCCCAGGGTCACCAGTGTCCCCAGTGCCCGTCCCAGTGTCACCAGCATTGCTGTACCCAGGGCACATGTCCCCAATGTCCCGGTGTCCCTCACCTGGCGCACAGCTGTCCACCAGGGCCCCCAGGGCGCGCCCGCTCTGCCAGTCCTTGCTGAAGTTGGTGATGGGCAGCTGCGGCAGCCGGTTCTGGATCCAGCCCAGCAGCCGCTGCTTCGGCGTCTGGCGCTTGGCCTCCTCCTCATCCTCCTCGTCCCACATGGGCATGGAGATGGAGTAGTGCAGGATGAGCGTCCAGATCAGCCCCAGGATCAGCTTCAGGTTCCCGTCCACGATGGCTTTGCTGTCTGGGGGGACACGGGGACATCGGGGACATCAGGGACAGCAGGGACACTGGGGGTGTGTGAGGTATTGGGGACACTGGGGACACTGGGGACACTGGGGGTGTGTGAGGTACTGGGGACACTGGGGACACTGGGGACAATGGGAACAATAGAGATGGAGCAGTGCAGGATCAGGGTCAGGATCAGCTTCAGGTTCCCGTCCACGATGGCTTTGCTGTCTGTGAGGGGACACGGGGACATCGGGGACATCAGGGACAGCAGGGACACTGGGGGAACAGGGCCATCAGGGGACACAGGGGGACACAAGGGACAGGGACATCAGGGGATGTGGGGGACATGGGATGGGGGGGACACCAGGGAATGTCCTGCAGGGACTGGGGACATTTGGGACACCCCAAAAGGACAGGGGACACCCTGCAGGGACAGGGGACACTGGGGACACCCCACAGGGACAGGGGACACCCTGCAGGGATTGGGGACATTGGGGACACCTCACAGGGACAGGGGACATTGGGGACACCCCACAGGGACACTGGGGACACCCTGCAGGGATTGGGGACATTGGGGACACCTCACAGGGACAGGGGACATTGGGGACACCCCACAGGGACAGGGGACATTGGGGACACCCTGCAGGGACAGGGGACACCCTGCAGGGATTGGGGACATTGGGGACACCTCACAGGGACAGGGGACATTGGGGAC